AGCATGCCTTTAATGTAATCGTTGAAAGTGATAACTTTTCTCGATACTGCAAACAAGAATGGCACAGGTGCGGGCTAATGACGAAAAAGTTAAGAAAAAAAACTCTCGCAAACAAGGTCGCATTAGATTCTATGGCTCATTTTGTGGGCAAAAACAAAGGACTCTTTCGCACTTGCTCTAAACAGAATCTCTGCGTTATTCGGGTTTCTTTTTACCTATCCTCCAAACATGATTTTCACAAAAGGTAGTTTTATCCTGGAGCGCACAATTTATAGGAGCTACGGCCTCTCGATTTCACTATCTAAATCGCAATATTACTACTCGGAGTACGGTAATTTAGATCCACTTCAAAACTCGCGTCTGACTTTACTGTCTTCGAAGATTTCGCAATCATAGCGCATCTCAGATGAATGAAAAGATTGTCTAATGGATACGATTAGCTGCTGCAAATTTGAGAGTTCAGACTTTCTCGATATTCCAATTACGATTTTTTAAAAGAAAGGGCTATGGCATGGTTACAACCAAAATAACTCACCTGATCATGAACCTGGTTGATTTCATAGTAGAGCGAGGGTAGCACGGCAAGACATGCACCAATTGCAAGCAATGAACAAGCGGATGCTGCCGCGACAATCACCTTATCCTCGATCATCCTAAGCCGGACGGTGACGAAGCTCTAGCCGTGGTTCGCACTTTTATAGGGTTGACCCTATAGAACTCCGCCCCCCTGATGGGAAGATGTGAGCGACCCGCCCCATTCAACTAATTTTTACCAAGCGAAAAGCCAAAATGAGCGAAACTATTGAGTGGAGGACCGTGATGGCTGAGATTATATTCGGGATCGGAAAAATGCGGTGCCGATTAAAATGTTTGAATTTGATAAACTCACATATTTAATAGAAAAGTAAGAAAAAACGCGATCAATCGAATAGTTGAATGCTCGAAAAATAACATATATTCCATTATTCAAATTGGAACATTCAAGAACATCGTTTGGAAATTAAAAGCGAATAATGTTTATTTGTTCAAATACCTACGTAATCGTCGAATAATTCGTTACCTCCGAAACTATCAAATATGGTCGAGGCCGAATTGTGTTCAGAAATTCTGAATTTTCAAATATTTGAAAGAAATGCAGTTATTTTCAAAATTCAGTCATGCTGATTATTCGATTATTCTATCAGCTGTATATTCAAAACCTTCTGTGTTT